TTCCAAATGCAAAACACAAGTAGTAGAGAGGAGTTTCAGTTTCACAGCACCAATCAGCTTTACTACAGAATAGTTGAGCTAAGCCATGCCCAGGCTCCTTGCTGTCTCCTTGCTCACACAGCAAATACTGCTTCAGTTTCCAAACAGCCCTCAATACTCTCACACACTGATAGGACGCTAGCCAGATGAATACCGATGGATGCTGGTAGGCAGAGGCAGAATTTTTTTCCCCTTATTTTCCTCCCCAAAAACTAAGCCTGATCACATAGTTTCATAGCAAAGCACGGGTATTGAGCTAGTTATAATGTATGATATAGTATAATTATAATATGTATATAATGTATAGTACGTAATGGAATGGATAATATATCATTATAGTCACTTTCCTAACGGAAACTTTCTCTTGTAAAGAAAACACAGTTTTAAAAAGACGCCTTTGGAGAGAACAGGACCGCTGCCTCCCCTCTGCCCTGCATGGAAAACGCAGCCTTTCTCCCCTTTGCCTCCTGAACACCTGCATTGCACATGGAATCCACCGGAGGGCTCCCTCTGCCAAGCCAAGGGAACACAGTGCACTTCACCATTGGGCGGCTAGAAGACCACAGCTGGCTTTCCAGACGAGGAGGAGGAGGAGGAGGAGAAGGGAATGACATCACAAAGCTTTGCCACTCTAGGATGCTGCACTCTCTCTCCCCGTCACCCTTTGAGCTTCGCTGCAGGTAAAAGAAAATGCTGCGGGGGGGGGGATGTCTTGTGGGGGAGACAGCCAGATGTGGCCCTAAGAGAGGAAAAGGAAGGGGGGGTCTCTTTCCATGCAAAGGGAGGCGGAGGGGGGGAGGGGTCCTCACCCTGGAGGAAGGAGAGACACATGCCAAGTCCTCATCCCAAGTTCAGTCTTCTGAACCCCCGGGAACGGGAGACCCCAAAGTCCATATTCCCCAGCTGGGAGCGGGAGAGCCCAAAGTCCATGTACCCCAGCTGCCCCTTTCCGTGCAAACAACAGGCGGGGGGGCGGGGGAGAGAGAAGCAGAGGACCAGCTGAGTTGCCCAGAAGAATGCCAGGATGGGGGGGGCTGGGTGAGTCCTTCCCACCCCGTTTTCTGGGAACAGCCAGAGTGAACGGAGAGGGAGAGGCAAATCTCAGGCAGGAGATGCCCCAAAGGGGGCCAGATTCGCACCAGATGCTGCATGAGGCTCAAAGAGAGCCGAATCCTTCACAATTCAGCCTGTCTTAATGGAGTGGAGTGGAGTGGAGTGGAGTGGAGTGGAGTGGAGTGGAGTGGAGTGGAGTGGAGTAGAGTAGAGTAGAGTAGAGTAGAGTAGAGTAGAGTAGAAAATGGCATGGCATAGCGTAGCATAGCATAGCATAGCATAGCATAGAATAGAAATGATGGGGTGGGGTGGGGTGGAGTGGAGTGGAGTGGAGTGGAGTGGAGTGGAATGGAATGGAATGGAATGGAATGGAATGGAATGGAATAGAATAGAATAGAATAGAATAGAATAGAATAGAATAGAATAGAATAGAATAGAATAGAATAGAAATGATGGGGTGGGGTGGAGTGGAATGGAAATAGAATAGGATAGGATAGGATAGGATAGGATAGGATAGAATAGAATAGAATAGAATAGAATAGAATAGAATAGAATAGAAT